CACACACACACACACACACACACACACACACACACACACACACACACACACGCGCGCGCACACACACATGTACACACTGATAGTTTCTACTACATTAATGAAAAAAGAATATTATTGCTACTGAATGGCTTCTTTAAGTACATAGCAGTGTGGAGATATTGGCCTGCGTGATGTACCGGTATTGGTTTTGTTTTTTTATAGATAAAGTATGGTTTTGCTGTTTATTTGATGTTATCGGTATTTTGTTGCTGTACCGTGTGGGCGGGAAATGTTTAGCCAGGGTTATTTCGTTGTTTTGTTTTGTGCTTGTTGATTTTTTTAATTTTTAGGTTTGTTTGTTTGTTTTTTGTTGTGTTTTTGTTTTCTGCAAAAGCTATGTAATTAATTGTACCTCAAAGACTGGGGTAGGTGAATGGTGAGTGCTCTGGTGTTGCGGTGTTGTTTGCGTCTTTTTTTCCAATCAGTCATCAGCTGTCGTCCTCCTTTCTCATCCTTTTCATTATGTTACTTTGTAGTTACACCTTTATTCTTCGGCTCTTAAATTAAGTTAAATGACGTGTTGAAAGTGCACAAAATTCGTACTAAACTTCTCCCCCCGGCCTCCCAAAATAACACACAGCATCAAATAAATGAATAAATAAAATAATAAATCAATAAATAAGTAAATTAGTAAATGAATGAGTGAATAAAATAGATAAATGAATGAATAAACAAATAAATAGATCTGAGGGTGTATTCCGCTTTCCCTCACGTAAAATCCCTACTTTGATGGGGATCACCATGGTTGCCTGCTCAAGCGGTTGTTTCTTCTGGACGATTTATTGGTAACAGTTTTTGCTCTTTCTACTTCTGTCCTGTGGTTACGCTGTCCTGGTCTGTTCTGCTCCTGTCGAAGTGTTACCGTTATGTGACACTGATTCGCTGTAGCTGCACTTGAATGCTGCTTTCTGGCACAGCTCCATCCTGTCGCAGACGGACGTTTAGCCCAACAAGTCTGTGTGGTCGGTTCTGGACGTTCATAATATAGGTGGTTGGAGGGTGTCAGCGGTAGATCCCAATTCGACTGTTCTTTCCCACCGTTGTTTCTGTCCATCTGTTATTCTTTTTCTGTCCCATAAATGGTCATGGGGTTATACGTGCTTTTTTACGCAAACGTTTCTCAATGTTGGTGGCTGGCGGATGCACTTTCCTAGTGGGTGGTTGGCGGGGGCTGGTGGGGTTTGGTCCTTCTTTCCTATAACAAATCTATCGTCTCTATCTCCTGTCCTTAATTTTTTGGGTATGTTACTCTTTTGTATCACCTCTAATCTTCGGCACTTATATTATGTCCCTATTGTGTTGCAAGTGCCGTAAAACTCTTACTAAAACTAAAAACACTTTCCTATCAAACATCTGTCATTCGTATCTCTCCTCCTTTTTTTGTGTGTTTGTTACTCTCGTGTTACACTTCTCATCGTCAGCACTCATATAACGTAATTGTGTTTCAATTTTCGAAAAACGCTTACTAAACCAAGTGAGGCTCCGTAGTGAAATCAAGCGGTCGTCAAAATTATTAAATAAAAGAAACAGGCATTTTTCTGGCTGTTTGGCAATTCTTTCTAATTTCCTTCTTTTTTTTTTTCTTTTTTTTTCGGCTTAACACATTTTAGGTCCGTTTTTAAAAACAAACCTATTTATGTGTAGCTTTTACTGAAAGACATTGATTAAAAGCACAAACACTGTAGATTTTCAGTTTCCAAGGACTCTCTTGCTATGGAAATTACCAAACTTTGGCTGCCATTTTCTCGTAAATTTTACCTCTGAAACGAGGCGACCCTCACCTCTTTCAATTGCAAATATCTCGACTTCTATTCAACGTAGGCTGATATTTTTTTCCTCCAAAAGCAAGACAAATTAAGAGGCTTTAAGATGTCATTAATAACCACATATGCCCAAAAATTGACGAGCGCCTGATTCCACCACGTCGTGCCACTTTGAAAAGGGGTGTTATTCGTGGCCATGAGAAAAGTCGTGTTGCGCGTCGGATGATTTTTCACTTCTGACGCGACACAATTTGATAGTCTACAATACTGCGGTGGTACGTTGGCCAAGGACCAAGTGACCTGACAACAGATGGTGGGGGTATGCAAATCACCGTGTGGTCACGTTTTCGGATTCATTCATAAGTCCGTTGCTCGGTTGTTGCTGTAGTTGTTGATCAGATTTGGTTTGTTTGGGTGTTTTTGTTTTCTTCTAAGTTTTAAACGACTGTTCTATTATATTGCTAACTTTATGTTGTTATTTTAACTATTGGTCGTGTTCCTTTGGGCTTAGATATGTTTTTATGTTCTTCTTTTATTCTTTGTGTGTGTGCGTGTGTGTGTGCGTGTGTGTGTGTGTGTGTGTGTGTGTGTGTGTGTGTGTGTGTGTGTGTGTGCTTTTTTGTCATTGGTGTTGTTACTACATTATGTATAATATGTATGTGGCGTCGGTGGCCTAGTGGTTAGGCTACCGGACTCGTAATCGTGAGGTTGTGGGGTCGGGGGTTCGAGCCGCGGGCCCGACGTTGTGTCCTTGGGAAAGGCACTTTACACGAATTTTCCTCACTTCACTCAGGTGGGAATGGGTACCCGGCCATAGACAGCGAAAGATCTTCTCAGTATGTTAGTGTTTTAGCGCCTATAAATGGCCGCTTGCACTGTATGCTTCCCAGGAAGTTGAGGTTGTTTCTGAATGCTCTCAGGTCTGCTGGGGTAAAAGTATAATATGTTATATATATTGCCCTGGTAGATTTGGCTCGGAAACCGTTGGAATCAGCTCGATTTCTGTTCGCGTTCAGTAGTTCTCTTTGTTTGATAGAAAAGTGCTGTGTGTACAGGAGTGTAGTTGTTGCTGTCTTGTTGTTATTGTTGTTGGGTGGTTATTTTTTTCAAATCTGTTTGATTGCGTTTAATCACTCGTTATTCTTTGTGGGTTTTTTCTTTTCTTTTTTTTTTTTTGAAAGAGGGAGTATGAATGAGGATATTTTTATGAAAATTGCTCTGTGTATGTGTTTGTAAGTGCGTGTAAATGTGTACATGTGTTTGTGTGTGTGTGTGTGTGTGTATGTGTGTGTGTGTGTGTGTGTGTGTGTTTTTGTGTGTTTGTGTGTGTGTGTATGTTTCTGTATACGTGTGCATGGCCTGTTTGTGTGTATATGACCCTTGTGAATTTGTTAGCTTGTCAGGGTACGTATATATGGCTACATTATGTGTGTAAAGTGTGTGTGTGTGTGTGTGTGTGTGTGTGTGTGTGTGTGTGTGTGTGTGTGTGTGTGTGTGTGTGTGCCTTCCCCTTCCTATACAGAGAAAGAGAGAGAGAGAGAGAGAGAGAGAGAGAGAGAGAGAGAGAGAGAGAGAGGCGCCAGGGGTGGGTTTAGCTGGCTACAATTGTGCAACGCTGGATGACTGATCGTATACTTTTATTTGTGAATAAAGTTGAAAGTCTCGTTGCGTCCTACATCTTTCCCCAATCCGAAGAACGGCACACATGAACTTGACATCATTCCCTTTCCTAGACAGTTGATTTTATGGCTCTCTCTATAATGGCCTAGATGTGGGCGTGGCGGAAGTCGGGAGACGTACAACGCAGTATCCCGTTCATGGGCACGCATGTGTCGGGGAGTGTTGTCGTCCCTGCTGATGTTGACGAGATAATACTACTTTAAAACCCTGTGCCTTGGAAACCGCCAAATTTGAATTCTGTTACAATTTGATTTTATAGCTGGACCAGTTGCTGGTCAAGAAAACTTTTGAAATGATTTTGTGACACTTGATAAGACTTAGTAAGCGTTTTATTTAGCGTCTAAGGTCATTGGCTCACTTGACTTAAAACGTACTATTTTACCGAAGAGACTGCCGTGAAAGCAACATAATGACAAGCATATTAATGACGTTTTGAAATACTTTAATGACCTTTGATGGGTCTTCTTTAGATGAGAATTATTGTTTATGCTTCAGTCAACGTGTTTACGGAACACATACGGTAGAAAAAAATATTTAAATTTGCTTAAGGGACCTCGTGGACCGGCATCAGTGAGGGTTATGAAGTCTTCACCACAACGCAAAGGTGACGTCAGTACGACTGTCTTGTGGGGAAAGTCATTATTTAAAGGAGACTTTTTGTCTCCTGGGATGCTGTATTCCACTCTGTCGTGGTTGGCGCTGACAGTCAGGGTTGAAGCAGCCTGTTTTTGCTGATAGTCTAAAATGTGTCAGTTGGGGCGTAATACATTAACAGTCAAACAGTTGGGTACTAATCAAAAGGACTCCTTGAAGCTGATGGTGAAAGGTAGTATCGTGGTTTACACTCTCAACGAGATATCGAACTTGAGTGTCCTACGACTGGGAGTCTTTGACACCACCCTCCACCGGACGTGGACGGGATGACGATTTCTCAACAAAAAGAAAGTTTCAAAGTTATATGGGTGGGGTATCATTATTTACCCCCCACCCCCAACCCCTGTGTATGTTTGCACGCGTTCTTCTGGTTCCGTGCTGTTTCTCATTCGGTGAGGCTTCTCAGTCGGCGTCTGTTCTCTGTCGGTGTGGGAATCATCGATTGGAGTCCGATATTGTAACCAGCTTAGAGAGACCGTCTGGGAAGTCTCGTGTGCACGCGGCATAAAAGGGCGTGGATTTTACCCTTTCAGGGCTATTTCTCCGGAAGGATTCATAATCTGTAGAACGGCGAGTCACTCACGCTGTTAGGTGTATCATGCATGGCCCGGATGAATGTAGAGGTTAGTTTGTTTCGTTTCTATCAGTGAGACGGTGATTAGTGCTTTCTCAGATAATTATATTCTTGCTGGTACTCTAAAAGCAGGAACAAAAATGAAATGTGAGTACATAGGGACCCTTTCGAAGTCTGTGTTTTCTTCGAGGACAAGGTAATCATAAAAATGCTTCAGGAGAAGGCAAAGAAATTCAGCAAATAAAAAATTAATAAATGAGTAGATAAAATGGGTAACATATAATATATTCAAGGAATGATATGAAACGCGTCTATGAAAGCATAGACATTATTGTGCAGAAAGAAAGGTGTTTTTTTTAATGAAGTATAGCAAATTCTTAAATGGAAATAGATAATAAGTGTATGAACAAATACTTATAAATAGACACATATAACATTTTTATAATACTAAGTAAATAATCATTTTTACAACTGTTACAAACAAATGGAAGTGAGAATGATTCCTTTAAAGATCTTTTGTTTCTTTTTTGCCGTCCTGGAAGCAAAATTTGAAGAATACTGCTATAACGGGCAATATCTGTTTTATCTGTTGTCACCTACTTTTTCACTCGTACAATAGTCCATCTTGTTTGGACCTCTCTTTCCTAACTGCCTCTCTTCTTCAACCATATTTGATATGTTGCCATCACCGTTTTTTAGTCTTTTTATCTCTTTTCATATCTCTCTCTCTCTCTCTCTCTCTCTCTCTCTCTCTCTCTCTCTCTCTCTCTTT